CCCACCCAGAATCATTTAATGAAGATGAAAGGCGCAGTAGGTGAACAGTCACTGTGAACAGGCACTCTCACTGTGACCTAGTGTCTCGAATGTGACATGTGATACGCCTAATGGGTGCAGCTGCTGCCTACTTGACTTTGAGTGTTTTGATATTGAAAAGTAATAGAAAATGCATTTAGCAACAGGTAGCTGAACGAACTACGAATGTGAATTAGAACCTGTAGAGAGAGCTAGAGCAGCAGGATGCGGTCATTGAGAAATAAGCTCTGTGGATCGATATTTAAATAGTTAAAGAATTTATTGAAATGCTTCAAGATTGTGTTTGATGCTTTTTAGAAACTGTATTAATCTGAGCTTATCTTTAGAGTCTTCATATTTCAGATTTAAGTTAAGTAAAACTGAGTGCCTTATGAAAAACTCACAGGTCTCGCCACGTATGCCTACTTTAACCAGCTGTTGTTCAAGCTGAAGAGTGGGATCCACCTTGACGCTTCTTGAGGGCTTACAAATTTAGGCTCAAGTGTAAACAATTGTAGTCTTTGTCGATTTCCCAAATTACATAGCTGCACGTCATGTAAATGCCAGACTTCCCTTTTTTTGTGTATTCCAACTTAATTAAATCTCTTTTTAATCGCTTCCAAAACACAATACGCCTGGAACTTGCACGGAAGTCTGCATACACCTGTATTGTAATCCAACACCTATTCACACCTCGTCAGGCTGGCAAACAATGCGCTTCAGAGAAAATTCTTTGCGGAAAACCCACAATGTACAGCCGGAAAAGGGCGCTGAAACAGAAACTGTGTTAGCCGTGTTTCCGCACACACATGTGGTCAATGTGCCACACCTACTAGGCACGCCTTCTAGCCTCCCCTCGACCCAATGTAATGGCACCTGGTACATCATATCAGGCCACCTTGCTAACCGACTTGTTTTCTTTACTTTTGTTTGGTTCTATTAAAAATTGATCACGTGGTAATTGCTTTTGCCACTTTTCCATACCCCTCTTTCGCCTTCCCTCTCGCTAGATTTCTCTAACCTTCTCTTTCTCTTCCTCTGCCCCTTTTAGTCACTCGCTGTGTTTGTTTTCTTCTTTTTGCTAGACAACTTTGCTGGTATGAAATAGATAGCCTCTGTCAGTGCCAAGGCTAACAATAGTGACCTACAAATTGAATAAAGAAAAACCTTCTGCTTATATCTTGGAATCTAATGACATTCAAGCAGCTTAAATAAAGCCTAAGCAATTTGGTTTAATGTATTAATAATGAGAAAACAGTTTTTTTATTAGAATCAATAATTGATTTACTCAAGGGCCTTATTTATAGCCCTATAGGGGCCAAACGTTTCTTTTTATATATTGATTGATATGACTATAACTGATTGATTAAAAAGACCTACACCAATAGGTATATATAGTTGCTGTACGAAACTGATTTGCTCTTAGTTTTTAGAATATTTAACTCTACAAAGGATATGTAGATTGATTGATTGATTGATCGATTGATTGATTGATTAATTGTTTTAGAAATAAATTGATTAACTGGTAAATACCTATACTTATACTTAGAGAGTTTTGTAATCAATGCGCTTACATAGTAAATGTTTGTGCTGATTGATTGATTGACTGATTGACTAATAAGCACACATTTTCTAAAGCTTTAGTCTAATAGCTAATATAATAATTACTTAATTTATTACACAGTAAATAAGTGAATGTTTGAGTGATGGATTGTTTGCTAGGATGATTGATTAACTTAAGCCTAGTTCACATATTATAACATTTCCGAGTTCTTAATATATGTAACATAGAAAGTTTTATTCTAATAAATAGAAAAGATAGTATCCGTAGATTGATTTTTGAAAATTTCAAATTTTATTCAAAATAAAAATATGAAAACTTTTTCATAAATAACTTAATTCCATTCCAAAAATACTTAAGCTGTAATATTTCTTCTCGTTTAAGTCCCATTTATAAGCTCAGCTTTAGACAGCTTTATTATCTCGTTCAATTAGATCTAGCTGTTAGTTTTTGTTGCTGGCGGAACTTTTAATTGAAATCGGACTATAGATAACGCACTCTTGTGCCTAAATTGGCATTTATGTGGCTCAAGAGTCGGCATTTAAATTGCCAGCGGCATATATTCTATGAATATGAGCTATATTTATAGGTTTATTAATTTTCGTGAGTGGGCAGCAAAAAAGCACGATTCTACGATTTATGTTTACGGATATTCCCGCACAGTAATATATTTCACTTGAAGTAATCCAATGCATTCAGATGTTAGGCACGTCGCTCAAGCGTTGACATTTTTGGTAGCTGCACTCATTAACTGTTCGCTGAATTGTAACTGTGAATGCTAAATAGGCCGTCATCAATCACTATTCAAACTGCCATTGACAGCAAACGCATATCTTTATTATTTTTGTGGAACTCATAAATTAAAGTGAATTGTTATGAATTTATTTTATAATTTTTTGGTATATGAATTTTTATTTACGAATTTATTTATATATTTTATTTAAAATATTTTTATTTTATTTGTTTTATATCAATTTTCAGTTTTTATTTAATTATATTTTTATTATATAATTAATTAATTTTTTATTATATAATTTATATTCATTTATTTAATTTTGTTAGAATTAAATTTAAGACTCGTTTTTAATATTTAAAGTATTTTTTATTTTCAAACATTTTTAGTGCAACAATTTTATTTGTTTATTTATTTATTTGTTTTATATATATTATCCCAACTGTCTGCCCTCATCATAAATATATAAATGGCTATTTGGGTCATATTTTGTACAATTTTGTGGTCGGAGTAAATAAAAACTTTTGTCTTCTAGCAAAAAAGACCCTGGAGCTTGGAAAACTAAAGCAAATGAATAATTGGTCGATTTGTTGAAATTGCATTCAAACGGAACAAATTTGATTTCCTGGAAAGGCAACGCTAAGGTCCTGAAAAGAGCGAAAAAACTTGTAAAGGGGCCCAAAGCACGAATGGCCAATAAAACGTACTTAAGGCCAAATCAACAGACGGAGAAACGTTTCTAATGCCATTAGGGCCAATTAAATGCTCGAGTTGCTTAATTGAAAAACTTTCTCTTAGACAAAATAAAAGTGGGCGCACGCGGCGTATACTTAATTTGGATAAAGCACCAAGGACTTACCAGCTGCGACGACGTCGGGCATTGAAGTGCAGCCAGCGTACGAGATCCTGCAGCTTGGTATTGCGATCGGCATCCTCGTCACGATCGTTCTCATCGTCCTCCTCATTGGCAGCCGCCGTTTCCAGTGGCTGCAGATGGAAGGGATCATACGAATGATCTGTGATCATAAAGGTGGGCTTTGTATAGGTGTAGGACGAAGACATTTCGCCTCACTTGGAAAATTCTATTTTATAATCTTTTTTGTATAACTTTATTTATCCCTCTCCGTCTCTCTCGCTTCACTTGTGCAGCATTTTGTTTGTCTAGTATTTTCCATACATTCTTTTATTGAATTTTCCGAATTTTCTGAATTTTCTTCACGTTTTGGCTAATTAAAATGCGTTGGCACTCGGCTTGCCTTTTGGCTGACATCGAACCGCGGGCGAGCTCTGTTTTGCGTCCACTGAAAATTGATTTCGTTGGAAAAAAACTGAAAAGTGACATTTGTTGTGGAAAGTCATGGAAAGCGGAACAAATGTTGGTTTTGTTTTTTCCTTTCGCTTTGCTTGCCCAGTTTTGCTTCTGTTAATCTGTGCCCTTATTTGCTTTCACTTGACAGCCAAATTGATTGTTTTCCCATTTCCCAGACGTAACAAATTGCTCACAAGTTCGAGCATTTCACGAACCGCTTGACAGTCTTATGCAAAGTGTCCTCCACGGTCACATTAATTGTAATAAATATGTCAGCAGTGAATAGATTTCAGGCAAAATACATTGTAGAGCTGCGCTCTTTAAGTAATTACCTGATGCTTGCGCTATGCATTATAATTCCCAATCGGTTTTAGCTTTGCATTTCATGCCGAACGCATGACAGTCCAGATATGACGAGAGAGTGAGCTTTTACTTTTACACATTAAAGTGTATATCTTGTTTGATTGATATGTGATTGATGATGCATGTTCAGCTCAAGCTTTAAATTTGTAGTCTATAGTTCGTTAACATTCATTTAATACTCGATCTTATATATAGAGAGGTTTGTGTTGACTGACTGACCTTCTGATTGATGGATTGCTTGACAGACTGATGCTCAGTTTTTAACTGATGCTCAGTCTTTAGCTTATACCTTAAAAGCTATTGAGCTGACAAATAATTTAATTAGCTGACTGTTATTGATTGATTTGCATTGACTGATTGATTGAAGTATTGCTATTCAGTAAAAAGCTCAGACCTCAATGGATATTAAATTAATCTGTGATACACATGTTTTTCGCTTGTATATCTCAAGCAGTTTGCTCTGATTGATTGATTGATCGTTTAATGATTAAGCATGACAGATAAAATACAAGACTTTTATGTATTATGAGTTGTTTGTTTGATTAAGTCACTGATTGATTGACCTATTTATTGAGTGATTGATTGCTTGATTTACAGATTGCTTGATTATTTCTCAATGCACAGCTTTACCTATATAAGCATATTTTTATGTAATTTATTTCTATGTCTGATTGGCTTGCTCATTGATTGACTGATTGATGATCTATAAATGGCCTAAGCGTAGGGTATCTAAGAAAGATAATATCTTGCATTAATTGTCAATTTGTGATGTACAAAATTTGTTATATACTCACACTTAAAAGATGTTTATTGATTTTAATTTCGAACTTATTTTGAAATTGATTTAAAATGAACTTTATTTTTAAGAAAACACTAGAATAAGAATAATAAGAAGAAAATCTAACTTAAATAATATATATTTTATTTTAAATTTATAGATAATATGCAGAACGATTTCCAATAAGTCAAGCATAGAATAATCTTCTTAAAAGTAGTAAAAAATATAAAATTGCCAATTGATGTTTGATATATGCCTGCGTCTGGGTTTTAGTTCCAATCGAAGACGATGTGGGCCAGCAGCAGATAGATGGTCATCAGGATAATCTGGCACAGCATCAGGGGCAGCATGGTCTTCAGATAGCGCGTGAAGGACAGCTTGTAGCCGTGCTGCTCGGCTATCCCGGCTGCAATGACGTTCGCTGAGGCGCCGTAGAGGCTGCCATTGCCGCCGAAGGAGGCGCCCAGGGTCAGAGCCCAAACGAGTGGCTGCAGCGGCAGACCCAGCGATTGCTTGGCTACCAGCGAGGTGACCAACTTGACCATCATCGCAGCCACGGGTATGCTATCCAAAATGGAGGAAGCCAGCGCTGTCGTCCATAATATCATAAAAATAGCCATGGTTAGTCGATGCTGCATATTCACAGCGAGAATCACGTGCTCCGTGAGCTCGGCAATGCTGACGAGCAGCCCAAGGCGCTCCACGCACTCCATCATCACGAACATGGCGCCGAAGAAGAGCAACGTTGTCCACTCGATGCGCTGTATCATGTGCTCCATATCCTCGCGATTCACCACGATCAGCAGCAGGATAACCCCCAGCAGCGAGACCCATCCCAGAGGTAGGGTGCGCCAACGGGGCACTGACTGCACCAGAAAGCAGACGATGACGAAGATCAGGACACCAGTCGATTGCAGCAGCAGCTTCTTGTTCTTGATGGGGTACTGCGAGGGAGGAAAAAATTGATTGACTGATTGATTGATGATCTGTTATATATGAATGTGTTATATATGAAACGATTGACTAGGGAATCTGTGCAGTGCATAAATGTATATTAAATACATTTGTAAGCAGAACTGCATGATTGACTGATTGGTTGATTGAAGATCTGTTATATATGAAATGATTGACTAAGTGGACAACACTACACAACTAAAATTAAAAGTGTGCTAGCCAGTGAGTATATGTATCTTAAAGTAAAATGCATTGATTGATTGATTGATTGATTGAAGATGTATATATAATCCAAACAGTTGGCGCTAGAAAGTTTATTTGTTCCTAGTAGCTGGCCCAGGCCTAGATATGCCGTAGTAGCTGATGAATTTGATACATATGTGCACTAAACTTATTGATTGACGGTCTGATTGATTGATGATCTAAGCAGAGGCGTAATAGTTAGAGCTAGGAAGTTGAAATTTTGCTGAAAGGTATTCTAGGATTTATGTCACAATGAACAATTGATAAGCTGAATACATTTGCGTACTAAACCTATTGATTGATTGTCTGATTGATTGATGATATATTCAGAGGCCTAATGCTTATAGCCAGAAAGCTGTGATGTTCCCTATCCTATCCTTCAGAGTTGTCTGGCTATAGTTCTTTGACTGAAAGAGTGATTGATAATATTAGAGAATAAAACTGATGGATTGACTGCTTGCCTGATTGATGGTCAATACACAGAGCAAACTTTGAGAACTATAAAGATGCACTATTCACAGATGCTATCTAATTCTATTCAGGCAACAGGTAGAGAAACATTTTAAAGGCGGAAAATGAATGGAAAACTTTTTAAAGCACAGTCCACCCTTTGTTTATCTGTCATAGTCATACCTTCTGCTTCAATTCATCTAGCGTGCTGGTATAGATCTCAGTGGAGCCGACGCCACGTTCTTTGCGCCGCAACGTTCGCTTGAGCTGTTTAACCTTGCCCTGCAGAGTGCCGCGCACCAGCTGCGCATCCTTCGAGCAGGCTCCAATCGCATTTAAAGCGCGTTGCCAAACCTTAATCTCGCGCCGCAACTCGCCCAGCTCCTTGGGCTCATTGAGACGCAGCTCATCCATGTTGCGATAGTAAAGGCGCAAATAGGCGCAGCTCTGCAGCACGGCCAAGAGTACGCCGGGCAGCATGTGCGCGATAAATGTCAGAAAGTTGATGTCCTGCAATGGAAGATGGTGAAGTAATCAATCTATCGATATATATGTATATCGATAAAACTATTTATCTATCTATAGCTCTGTCTATCCAGTGATGGAAGTATCCATTGTTGTCTAGATATATATATATACTTTATACATATATACTTATTTATACATCAGTCTATGGATCTATCTATTCATTCATCCGCTCTTCCAGCTTCATCTTTCAAGTCTTCAATTTAAGTCTGCATTAATATATTCATCTATCTATAAGCTCCTCTACAATATGCAGCTCTCTACTACGTCTTGAATCATTGAGAATGAAATCCAAAAATAGAAAGTCAAATAGTTAACTCACATTCTCGACGATGAAGCGATTAGTGCCCACAATGATGCTAATCGGATCTCCGATGGGCGACAGAGCACCGCCGATGTTCGCGTGGACAATGATGCCCATGACAACGGGTATGGGATCTAGCTGCATGACCTCGCACAGACGAATCGCAACTGGTGTGAGCAGCAGCACTGTGGTCATGTTGTCCAATACACTGGACACCAAGCAGGTGATCACGCAGAGGCTATAGATCATGGGCCAGATTTTGCCGCCAGATACTTCAAAGCAAACGACAGCCAGATAGTCGAAGACACCCGTCTCGGTGAGTATGAGAATGAGCAGCATCATGCAGAAGAGTAGAGTCAGCAGCTCCATGTCCATCCACTGCTTGATCTCCTCCATGTTGGGTCGATCTTGAAACGCGGCCAAGGCCGTCACAGAGAGCACAGAGCAGATAATAGCTACAAAGGGACGATCGAGTTGCTCCGAGATGAGCAGGCCATAGAAGAGGAGCAGTATAAGTCCCGCCAGAATGCTGCCTGTGCGATTGTTCACAATCAACGGATTGTAGCTAAGATCCACAGCCAAATCCTGCTGGGCATTGCTGTAGATGTGCAAACGCATCTGGCTTTCCCTACGGGCGAGCAAGTCGCTCAGCTCGGGAGTTATGTGAAAGGTGTGATTCCGGTGCACAGCGGGCGACTGGAAAAGCTGATCATCGGACACCAAAGGCAGCTGCCAGGGCGATAAAATGTCCTGCAAAGAGTCGAGTGTTTAGCTAGCCGAAGTGATCAACTCTTAAGCTCTACCTCGTAGTCCTGACTGCGATTATAGGACAACTGCGGCTGTACGAATAGATAGCTGCGACTGTCTGTCTCGTTCTCCTCCAGCTCTGTCTGCAACTGCTTGAAGGACTGCTCGAAGGCTCCCTGCAGCCGTAAATAGAAGTCGCCCATGGGCTTCTGTTCCAGCTGAAAAACTAAGCAGGCGATTAGACTGCAAAACGAGAGCAGACCGCCGACCTACATTTGCCTAGCTCTCCTCTTGGCACCTGCACGATCTTCTCCAGCAGCTGCTTCTCGCCCACGCTGATCAAGACTCCGGCTGCTAGGACCCAGATGACGAGTAGGCCGCATCTCTTGAATAGTTTGTCGCGCTGCTGTTGCTCCTTGGAGCGCTTCGACTTGTGATGAAGACGCCGAGCCACAGCCTTCGCACTGCCGGGTCCATTTGCATGTGACTCGTGGTCCGAGTGAATTGTCGTTGCCTCATCATCTGTACTCTTGTCACCCTCATAATTCGGCTTCATTTTGATATCCAGAAAATCGGAGCCTGCATAGCTAGACTTACGCTCATCCTGCTTATCCTCCTCCACATCTAACTCGACCTCCACATCGGGCTCCTCCGCCTCGCTGTCTCCGACCATGGAGCCTGTCAATAAAATATAACAAATTTATTACGACAAGTCTCAACTGCCTGTCAAGTGCTTTTCAAGTGCCTGTCAAGTACATGTCAAGAGCCTGTCAAGTGCTTGTTAAATGCTATTCAATTTATCGGTTTGACGTTATTTAATAATCGATAGAACAGAAGATAAATGTTTTGGCTGCTTTTTCATACAGCTTCGGACTGAACAGAGTAAAAAGTCAAGTAACTGGCGCACGACTATAAGATACCCTGTTATTTGATTTCTTTTATACAAAGCTACTCTTAGAACAATCATTGAAATTTTATTAGCTCCTTAATAGTGAAAAGGTAAAATATACAAGTGCTCGACTTGAAGATACCCTGTAGCTGAACTTTTTGCTAATAAGTTACTTTTAGGATTATAATCGCATAAAAAACTTTCATAATATTACTTTATAGTTTAAGAGTAAATTATAAAAAACAATATAATTATAATTCTGCTCGACTATAAAATACCCTATATTTAATTTACCGTTGTTTTTTTTGAAGCTGATCTATTTTTGTGTTTGAAATTGGGATCTTAATAGGGTTAATGAAATTTTCATATTAACACTGAAAGATACCCTGTAACTCTACATCTTCTAAGCTAAATTTTATTTTAGAACTAAAAAGTCAAAAGAAAAAGAAAAAAAAAAGAATGTTATAAACGATGGGAATTATAATGAGTACAGGGTATTTCATGGTCAGTTGCAACGCAGTTGACAGCCACATTTGGTAAGCCCTTAAGTTCTATCAGCTTTTGGCATATTTATAATATATTTATATTTAATATACATTTTCAGTATGTACATATACCCTGCAGCTGTGGCAGTGCTGTTGGGTCTGCTCGACTCACCGTGAATGCGTTCGTTTTCCATTTGAAAGCTCGCCATGCTGGGATCATGTCGTACCTCCGCTGGCAGTGCACGCCACACCTGCAACGTTTGCTCCGTGAGCTGAGGTGAGGACTGAACCGTAGTCGGAACTGGCGGCGGAACTGGAACCTGCAGATCCACTTGCGTTTTGCTGCGATGCTGCAGCTCGATGCCGCGCGAGGGGCTGCGTGGACTTGGGCTAAGTCGACGCAGCGTGCCGAGCAGGCCCATGATTAGAATATACTACACGACACGCTGTTATACTGTTATACGGCGCTGTTATACTGCTGGACACCCTTTTGTTGAACTGTTAACCGTACACATGCTGTCAGGCCACGGCTCGCGTTGCGACTGAATCGTGACTCGAGTCGTGTCGAAACATTTTTGTGGTTTCGGCTTCCAGCAAACGCTTTCAATATTGAACGAACCACTCTGCCCCACTGCCACACTCTTGGCTTACTTCCAGGATGGAAGCTGGCACCTGCGCACGCGTTTAATCTCTCATTCATCGGCTCATTCACATTTCCGTGTTTTGCTCGCTGTTCGCTTTTTGTCAACAAGTTTCCTTTTGTTGAACCACTAAAACCACTGAACCACTAGTCTTACGGCGACGTGTCAACTGCTCACTTGCAATTAAATAATTCATAATTAATTCATAACTTTGCGAAATTGCGCATACGACATGTGTGACAAATGCAATTTGAAGCTTGGCTCTGCATATGGAAATTACTGGCAGAGCGAAACGTGCTGCCGTCAGCTAAAGAATTTAATTGTTAGAATTGCGCTGACAGCGTACAGTAGACACTCGTAAAGTGAATAGCACACTTCAGAGTTAAATTCAAATTTTGAACATTTTTTTCTTATCCATAACAAAAAAATAAATAATAGGAAAACTAATAATAATAATAAATTATAAATTAGTACTCTAAAATAAAATATTAAATAAGTTAATACAAATAATTTAAAATCGATAAGCAATGTAATTAAAAATTATAATAAATTAAATGTCTCATAATACATAAAAATACGAATAAATTAAACAATATTAACAATGATTGTACTTAAAGTAATAAATTAACTTAAATAGATACTAATTCATTTGTTATGCATTTTACATATACTATTTTATTACGTTTGAAATAATATATTCCAAACCTAATATTGCTTATTGTAAATATTATTGTTTATATGTATATATTAATTAGTTGTAATATATTGTTTAATATTTCTTTAAGCATTTTGTATATTTACGGGGTATAGATAAGTTTATTGTGCAATTGCTATTCGACAGTTGGTTGTGTGCCTTGCTAAACAGACTTGTCAAAGACAAGCACCTATGCATTTTGTGTTGAATATTGCTAAGCTCACCACTGTGGTGTTGTGTCTTTGCTTGTGCTGTGCTTAGTAAGTGCTGGTTGACTACTAAAGAGGTGTAAATACATGTTTGGTGTGTATCTTTGGTAAGAATATAATAGCCTAATATGTAGGGTTTGTATCTTGGCTACGGATTTTAAATCTCATATTAAAATTGTGAATTATATATGTATATATAATATAGTCTTTATTTTTTAGATATAAGAAATTAATATGCGTGAGCTCAACTCTCATTTGTTCTATTTACGCGAACTGGTTCCCGTGAGCTTTAGACATGACATTGGCGCCAGAGTCGATTACAAAACATAGACATTAAATGCAGAGGATGTGACACTAATTGCATTGATTTACCAGGCCCTGTAGGCTGAACAGCCTGGCAGACGGACAAGCGGCTAGCCAGACAAGAGGCAGGCAGGCAGGCAGGCAATTCGACGACAACTGATAAAAGCAGCTCAGATGGAAGTGTGCTCCGTCCTCACTCCCAACTCGGCTCCTTCTTCTGTGCCATCCGAGCATCAGTGGAACCTGTTCAACAAACTCCGACAGACTGTTAACTGAAGCACCCGTTGTAACATTTTTCAATTATGCAAAATTATTCGTAATGCTTAGGAGTCGAGTTAGGCATTAGAGGTTAGCAGTCATAAATGACAGGTCGAGTGTCAAAGCTTAGGAATTATAGTGTAGGAGTCCAATATTAGGAGTTAAAAATGAAGACTGGATGTTTGGGAGTCAAGATTAAGAAGACAAAATTAAGAAGTAAAAGCTTTGGAGTCATAAAGAAGAAGTCGAGGATTAGTGAGCTCTGAGATTTAGGAGTCATAGTTTCGGAATGGTTGTCGAAGTCACTGGGTTTCTGCTTAAGCCTTGGTGGACGTCGAAGCTAAGCAGTCACAAATTATCGATAGACCTATTGGCAATCGAAGTTTTTGTGTTAAAGCCTCGGAGTTGAAATTTTCAAGAGAAGTTATGAAGTAACCAATTTCGGAATCACACTTTTCGGAGTAACTTTTGCATTTTGAATCATAGTGTTAAAGGGTATTGGGAAGTCGTGTTGTTATCCAAAGATCTTTATCAAAAGTTTAAGTTCTTCAAAGCCCTTTAAGAGTATTTCATATTCGACTTACAGAAGATGAACTAGTTCATTTGCTGTTTTAAATAGGTTGTCATAAACATCTCCAAGCGCCATTCATGTTTTGCCTTCCCTGTCGCATCCATCGTAATACCATCTGGTATATATTTCGAGCTTTACCCTCAGTTGTTCTCGCTTTTGTTTGTTGTATTCTCTGGCTCATTTGGATTTTAATTGGGCATTTAATGGGATTTGGCCTCGGAATGGGCTTTGCAGCGATTTCTGCGTGCAAAACAATGTAATTGCCAGGTGAGCAGCAGATGGGCAGGTGGGCACGATGCCTTTTGGCAGTTGTCCTTATGTCGAGTCCTTGAACTGTAGTCCTTTAGTGGCCTAGCTATGCGAATTTCACTTTTCCTGCAGGCAAAACAGCAGTTCAGCAGCAGTTGCTGCTAGCTGGAGGCATGCCTGAACTGCCTTTTCGACCAGGATCAGTGGAGCATGCATATAGACACACATATTCACACAAGCCACACATACAAACACCGATGGCCTTTCGCTTAAAGGACTTTTGGGCTTTGCTTGTTTTGCTTGCTCATTGAATGCATTGCCCATTTGTAGCTTGCCTTGCAGCGACCCTCACACTCTAACCACTTTTAATTAATCAGGCTGCAATCGACTTTGACGTTTGAAAACTTCACTCAATATGCCAATGCCATCTGCCAATGAGAGCCGTACCCCCAGCCCCTTACGCATCTCCCTTCATTTTCCATCAAAGCCTTTAACTCTCTGTCTCCCTCACTATTTCTCCTGCCCGCACCTCCTAATTCCAGCTCAATTTCCACACAGTTCTCTAGTTGCCTTTTACACACTTGCAGTTTAGTTTTGCTTTATACTTTTTGCTTTATTTCGTTTCTTTTGAGCGCTTTGTCTAGTGCTGCCTTTTGACTGCAGTAAATACTGATTTGGTAAGGTTGTTTTCACTTTTTCAAATTTCGAACTTATGCGGGTAATGTGAGCTGCCTTTATTGATTAAAGCTCTCCTTTGTTCTAGTCACTTCTGATGAAAAAAGTACTAAAGCTTTACATTTGTGCCAAAATACTTTTGTTTTCACATAAATCGCTAAGCTCGCACCAATACACACACCGTACAAACAGCTGCATATTTCGCCTTATCTCTATCTCTGCCAATCTCACTACATAATTCGGCTTTGCTGATGCGCTAAGCGGGTGGGGTAATTGAATATGTCCACAGCGTGCATGCCATTGGTTGAAATGCTGCTGATCCCGTTAACTTAAGAGAGAATGACGGTCCCATTGAGTATTTAAGTATGAAAGCTAGCACATTGCGAATGGTGTGTGTAGTGCAGGAACTGTGATAGTTGAGTGTCTTTGTTGCCGACTGCACTTAGTTGCTGTTGTATTACAGAGAATTAGAGAATTGCACAAAATGAGTTATTTTTAGTTTGTGCGCGCTTCTTCTGTTGATCTTCCGTTAGAGAGATGTGAAGAAAAGGATGGGCTTCTGAATTTTCATGCCAACAAAAAATGACGCTCCAAATAATGGCATGCGTATTGAGTGATAAAGAGAGGTGGAGAGAAAGAAAGCGCCTTTGTGAGTGGGAAATAATGAAGAAAATACAAAAAAGGTAAATTTGGCTCTGTGTATATTTATTCTCTGACAAACGGTATATTGATTTAATAATGTATATTGTTTTTGTGTTGGCATTTAAATATATTGTTATTAAAATTAAATAACAACATATAAAGGCAAAGTATATTTGAAGTAAAATGCCATAATTTAAATTCTAAAGTGTAATTCTATATTATTATTTTTCCTGTTTACCATTTATATAAGCAACTCTTTGCCTTTGACTACAATGCTCTCTAAAGTTTTTTTTATAACGAATTTATTTTCGATTTTTCATCGTCAGCATCATCGAAATTTCCGCTTTTTCTTGCTTTTTCGCTTTGCGGATTCTTTTCATGCGAATTTTGGGCTTTTGTCGACAGCTCTGACTGCGAGTCGAGCTGTTGCCGTCCATTGTTTACTTCCGCTTCCGGTTCGAGGGCGGTGCGCAGCGCGGCGCGGCATATGCAAATATTTTCAACATGATTGCATTTCTCTATTTTGATTTCTTGCTTTTGTGTGTTTGGCCATTAAAAGGGGAGTAGTCCGTGCGCCTTCAGCTATTCAGGACGAAACAAATCGATTCCAGTTAAAAGCATAACCAGTCAAATAAAATTAAAGATAACGATTCAAATGAAATTCAATTTGCGATTGATTTTGCTCTGTTAAAACTGCATAGCGGAATGTTTGGTTAAATAGAAATTAAATTGTGGCTTTTGTGGTATGTGGGTGACTGTGTCTGTGTGAATATGGGTATGAATATAAGAAAATAAGGGAAATGGAAAAAAAAATTAGTTGTTATAGATTAGATTGCCTAAGGATTAGGGGCTGAAGGAAACTATTAAAGCCAATAAAGCCAATAATTAGAGCGCAGAATAAGGAGTGAGTGTTTTTGCAAAATTATATTAAATTATGTGACAAATAGTGAAAATAAAAAATTATTTATTTTAATTTTTTTTACAATTTAAATATTATACAAAATTAATTTATTAATTAATTTATTTTTTATCTATTATTTTTAGTTCTACATTTTATAATAATTGTTTTCATTTTGTTTTATATTTCATGCTCTTCAATTTTTATTTGCAGGGTATTTCAATAGTTCGGCACACTTTACAACTTCTTTCTGGGCTCGTTCGACGCGTGCAATTTTAATAAAATTAATTTGTTTATTTACCAAAATGCTTTTTACGCGTTTTTAAGCACATTTCGAGTCCTTTTCCACTCTTGTAGTCACTTGAACTAATTAACTCTAAATATTTACACATGCCGCATGTGACCCGTTTCAGCTTGTTCCTTTCCATTACCTTCA